TGGTAAAATAAATCTGAATAAATTCTTTCTTATTATAAGTATGAGTCTTATAAGATTGGTTAATTGACTATAGATTGTCTTTGCATCTTGGCAAGACAGCGTCTATTCTTTTTGGTTTAAGTTTCAACTTAAACTGGGCCTAGCCTTCAGGTCACATGCAATGGTACTGCTATAAAGTACGCATCTTTTGTTAAGTATTTAGGTGCAAACCTGGATCAAATTCTTTTGGCGTCGCCCTTTGATGCTTTGCATCAATGCTTTTTTTGTTAAATCATGGGATGATAGTCGGAATCTTGTCAGAGCTATTTTAAATTTACTATTTGGTATTACATCTAAATATCGTTCTACTTTTAATTCTTTCTTATACCAGCTATATGACTGTAATCTATTTGAAGTTTTAATTTCAGCATCATATGATTGTTTATATATATATCAATTATTCTTTGTTTAATAGTTTGTAAAGATACGATGTCAGCATTTTGTAACAGCCAAATGTTTGACATAATACCTATTTCATCGAAAATATTTGAACATGTCCGACCGGATTATGACAATTATAGTAATTACCATCATTAAAATCATCTTTAAGCATATTGTATGTCATTTTAAGTAATGTATTATCATCTGATTTTAAAATTCGTATCCAAAATCTAATTAAATTTATTTTACGCTGTATCATCATAGGATACCTTCTTAATTCACCATATAATGCAACAAGGTTTGTACTTCTACGAACGTGTAATACACACGAGATTCGAGTTTCAAACATTTACACGGTTTTTCAATCGCTTTCTACGCCATAAGGCATCTTTGTGTGAAACGTTGCTGTTTTCTTTGCTAGACTCGTTACAAAATATCGAACAATCGAATAATCGAACTAATTGACAATGGCGTAGAAAGGAATCTAAAGACCGTGGAAAGGTTTGAAACTCGAATCTTGTGTGTATCAGATGCTACTGACAGTTGTGAGTGGTCCAACTTAATGTATTTAGTAAATTCAAGTGATTTTGACCCGTACTCAGCTGACATACATGTATTAGTCTATTTTTACGTACCGAATTGTTGTGCCGCAATTCTGTCTACCGAGGATTTTTAGCACGAATTTGCTCTTTTCCTGATAGATATTTTATGAACGGGAAGGGCTAGAGACTTGGGGTCGGTCTCATTTTGAAGCAAACGTGAATTAATTTAAATAGTGATAGAAGTTTTTTTTTAATTGTCTGGCCAATTGTTTTCACATCGGCCCGGAAAATGAATCCCTTGCTCGTAGGCTCAAATCTGGAGTTTCCGGCCTTCTCTTTACTATTAAAGGGGGTCATTATTTACATTTTTTAAATTTGTGACCATTTTAAGATGAACACTGTTTTTTATCAATCTGGTCATATCTTTTCTTCCCAGGTCCGATACTCGTGCCTGTGAGAGTACACTATAGATTTTATTTTCATACATATTCTATATAAAGTAGATCTTATATTCTGGTAGAAGTTGTTTCTGGTTTGTTTGTTTTTGTTTTTTTTCGCACTAGTTAATTCTTGCTTTCATTTTGATGCTTTTTCACACTACTACATTTTCTTGTTTTATAAGAGAAGATTTACTTTTGCAATAAATACAAGTATAGTTAAGTTATAGTTATAATATATAGTTATAAGTTATGATCTTATTTTTGTAATCGCCATCTTGGGTTATTTTTGCTTGCCTTCTTTCTACACTATTTGGGATTTTTACCATATTTACCGAACAAACGTTTTATATTTCATTACAAAACATTTCATCCTTTATATTTTCATTCATATAAATAATTTAATAACAACAAAAATGCATTATATTAAAAATAAATCTTATTTCGTACACCCGATCTTATTTTCGCTCACACAGCGATCTGAGCTATATTCGTACGTATGTGTTTTCGGCTCAAACTGCACCTTTTTAGATATTTTTTTGGTTCTGAAATTTTAATTTGCTCTAAAATCAACCAAAAAATGCATAAATATATAACTTACATAATTATTTAAACAGATAAATGCACTATTTCAAAAACAAATCTTATTTTCTCTTATTTTCGCGAGACATGAAAAAGGGGAGTTCAACATTATGTTTAAGAAATTAAATGTTGCATTCACTTCAAATTGTATAATGAAAGCAAAAATAAGACAATTGAACTCCAATAAGAGTGGTGGCCGAGATTTATACATTAACGTTTTTATACTAACATTGTTGACATAATTTAATAAAATATTTGAAATAGGAGACTTTCCGGAAGTTTGGTCTGAAGGTTTAGTTTAAACAATATTTTATTGATAATCCACACATTTACATAATAAATTACATAAAATAAAATTTACGGATTGAGTAGGAAGCTTGTAAAGCTTTTTTGAAAACTCTCTCCGTTTCTTATCTCTGGATTTATAATTTTGATAAGCTCGAAACGTAGTAAATAATTCTCAATTTTTGCATTAATTGCCAATTGATAACTCAAATCACCAAATTCCAACTTGGTTAATAGCTACTTCAGCTAAAACAAATGTTTAATTATCATAATATGGTATTTAATAAATAGATGTTACAGATTTTTATGAAAACCAGTAAAATCTCAATATATTGACAAAATTTGACCCAGTAAAATCACAAATTAAACCCAAATGGAATTGAAATACCCGTATAATTATTTAACAACAATTAACAACCATCATCGGTAAATTTTATATCAGCTTAAAGGAAAAAATAATTTCCGTCGAATGCTGTAGAAGTTCAGGTATTTTTACCGCCAATGGCGCTGTGATACCCGTAACAGTTGCCAATGATATGCAACGACGTCATGTTCGAAACGGGCTTTGATGGTCAACTTTGATGTCGTGTGTACAAAAATTGGCCGAAACTATTGGAATAAAATCAACGGAATGTAATCAGAAATATGGTCAACCTTCTCATGCCAATTTCCAAGACGGTACTTGAAAGTTCGCAAAAGTGTCGCGTTCTACCTTAATTACGGCCTGGCATCGCCACCGCATGCTGCTGATGAGCCTGCAGTCCTTGTGATGAGGAATCTGGGACCATTTCGTTAAAATTGCATGTCTTAGCTCCTGAACTTTTGTTGTTTTGACGTGGCGTGAAAAATGGCTTTCTGCAGCGTATCCCTAGCATGCTCAATTGGATATAAATTGGGGACCTCGCTGGCCAATCAATGCGGATTATAGTTGCCTTCTCAAGATATCAATTGGTGATGTGGGATCTATGTGCAAGGGCGTTGGCAACCATAAGAATGAAATCAGGGCCGACTGCGCCAGCGTACGTGCGTACATGGACGTCTAAGATTTTCATTGACGTACATTACTGCCATCAGTGTGCCGTTGTCAATGATGTGTAGGTTCATCTTTCTCTGAGCGCTTATTCCCACCCACACCATGACTTAACCTCAACAAAACGGTCGTGTTTTGCAACGCATGCTGCAGCTTAGCGTTTATTTGGACTTCTTTAAACCCTAGCCGTCTGTCCGCGAAGTCAAAACATTGACTCATCAGTGAAGAGGAACGGTGTCCAATCATTTACTGTCCATGTGACATGAGTCTGCGCCCATTGGAAACGCTCTTGAATATGACGTTCTGTTAAAGTAATGCGTTCGAGAAACGTTGGCGTCTGGCCTGAAGGACAATAAGTCGGTCTAAGGCTTGAGTCGTTGAACGTTCCCGACCTCCGGCGTGGCCCTGCAAGACATTTCCAGTCATTTGGAATCGGTTCCACATCCTGGTAACAACTCTCTCGGACACCCCCATGACATGGGCAACGTGCCTTTGTAAACGGCCATCCTCAAACATTCCAATACCCCTGTTCATCTCATCTTCACTAAGATGACGTCTAACCTATCGACTTGCTATAGTATATTAATTTCGAACACAGTTTTACAATAAAACGAGAGAAGTGTTGCTGCTTGTATACGTTTATGTGAAAACACAAGGCCATAAAACAACAAATTTCTATGAGCATGCTTTTCCACGTGCTTATTGTGCAAGGTGTACATGACAAATCGATAACTTAAGTACACGATTACGAGGTCCCCGTTCAGGTGTATCGTTAGCGGAAATATGATTTTAACATGATGATAATAGGACTGAAATATGCAATGTCAAAAAGGTGATCCTTAGCAAATTTTTAGTTTTATATATACTCATATTTACAGATTGTTAGTAACAGTGTAAACGAAATCATTTTAATAACAATACAGAACCCACTTTGCCACAGGCTTCAATGTTAATTGTTTGGTTACATGAAACAACGAAACCACGAAGGTGAAAGGTCGACAGAATGATGGTGAAAACACGAAATTATATCGTGCATTTACCACCGTGGTGTCGTTATATCATGTTATATGTGTCGCGAAGGCACCTACGGGGGTACTATTACACGAGGGATGGAGTTCTTATGATAACTCCATCCTTTTTGAAACAGTTAATACCCCGTGGTATAGAGTGTTCGTGACTCAATTACTGCAAGACGTTTTGGCTAGGAGTCTGGGTCAGAAAGGCTATCAACGTCCTTTACGAATTTACTTGATCTTGCTAGAAGTGTCAAATCTGCCATTTTTTGTTGTTGATTTTTTATGATAATCCAGATTTATATATTTAACAGAAATCAAGCTATTTGAATAATCGTAATGTAGTTTGTGAAGTAAAATTATATTAAATAGATAATAATTATCATGATGGCAGTGATGACTTTGAGTTTAATACCAGGAAATCATTAACAACTGACGTTTTCAGCTAAGTTATGTATATTTCTCTCTAAGAAAACATGTTTAAGTAGGAGGTAATTATGGACAAGCCAAAATATTGGTGAAACCTACTTGAAATCATGTATGTAAAAGTTTATATTTATTGATAATTTTAGGTAGAGATGTTGTTTAAAGACATATATTCGCGAAGAATGATAGGCAACTAACAACCGACGGCTTGCAGTCACAAAAAAATGCACCTCTGAACACTGTGAAAGGAAAACTATTGACTTACCACCTCTGTGTTTGATATACTCTGGTACCTTAACACTGCGGTTTTCTCAAAGCCGACTCTACTATCTCTTTTGTGTCCTGCCTCATTCTCTGACAAAAAATCAGCTGCTAATAAAGTCAGTCTGCCAGGTCTTTTCTGCAGAAGCTCTTTTAAAATCCATGTAACCTTTAGCACTTATGGATCTTAGTGACGTTTTTTCAATATCGTTTCTTTCTTATGCAAGCTTGGGTCCTTACCACTGTAACGTTGTATTTTTGATCCAATAAGATTCACATAATTGTTGTATTTTTATATAATTATAATGTTCGAAATAACCGATTTCCAATATCGTTCGGTATCGTTTTTAATTTGTATGATTCTATACGTAAAGAATAGATTTTATTTTAAAATCACTTTTTTTGAATAAGCTGATGCGGAAAATGATAGGTTGTGTTTTGAATAAATGGTAAGTTTCAAGCATGATCTAAAATTATTCCTCCTCGAATGCTCAGCTTTTATACTCAAAATATAACAATTTACAATATAAAATAAATTCACCATTGTCCACAACTCATAAATACTGACAATTGAATAACGTAAAATAAACTGTACTGGTCTTTTAAAAATATTTTAAGTATCGTAACCTTGAATATTCCTTTCTGTCTGCAACGGTGAGTAATTCTGTTCCACAATCAATAATAGGATCAGGCTAGCAAATACTTCTTGACAATGGATTTAACGGAAAATCTCATTATCAAACAAGACTCTGCCATCTCCACTTAAATATAGAATGAGAAGCTAGAATGTTCTGTAAACAATAGTTTGTTACGGCAATATTTACGGAAAATACTCATTAGGGGTGTTCACTTGTGATAAATAATATAGGGTAACACATAGTAACGCTATTAACCTCGAGTATATGGAGAAGCACCGGACGTCGACAAATAAATGTAGGCTTACATTTCCTCTCATTCAATAGACAGAGGCTTTACACGTTTACGATATAGATCGGGATTACGAAGCCAAGAAACTTTACTCTTTACTCAATATATTTTAAATTCGATATGTTAGACAGTATGCTAAGTGTGTATAATCAAATATAATTATATGATGAAGCTATTCCTGAGGTATGTGCTATGTTGTTGGAACTTACATTTATGTCATATTATTTTGACTTGACAAACATCCGCGCTGTCGCGAAGCCAAAATACTCAAAATGTGTGGTCTGCGAAAAGGTTATAATGTCCGAACGTTACAGACGATTTTCGATTCTTCGATGAGTATTATGTAATTCCTATGAAAATAAAGTATTTCTGTGGCTTGAATAATACTCAGTCTTCTGTATATTCGTCTGTTTCGTACACAGTTTCGAGCATAGTCATAGTATACTTGCGAGGAGAACGCAATAAGTGAGGATGAATTCGTGATTTTCTAGAAGTTAAACTGTGTTAGTAACACTAATGTTAAGATCGTTTAAGTATATATACCTTACCTTACCCTGCTGCACCGTTCTATATGTGTACATACCTAGTATTCTCGCTTATGAGTGTACCGATGATATAAACGCATACGTATACTAGACGAGTTGTGAGGCGTTTAATTTAACTAAAACTCAAGTGTTGACGCAGCTCTTCTGATCATGTACAATTACTAATATTAGAACAAAATGCGCTTACTATATAGACAATCACATACAATGGTTGCGTAAAACATATTTTGTAAATAAAATTAAGTCACTATTTTGGTTGACTTAACTGTTTTTTGTATCTTACTATGAACTTTATTGATCGATTATGAGATTGATCTGCTACTCGACATCTCTAATCACTATGGTAATAGTTTGGTAGAAGAGGGTGTTTATTTGGGCAACGGGGTATAGATCGCAACTATATTAAAAAAAAAAAAGTTAAATTCTAGGTTGCTGCTTCTATTTTATGTTTGGTTTAAAATATATTTTGAATGTCCTTTGAGCCATGTGTTCGTCACTTTTAACCTCATTACACCAGTGTGATTAAGATTACGCAACATATAGTATTTCTTCTCATGATATTAATTACAATACTATTCATAAACAAGCCCCGGCACTATTTACGGTATTATTAATAACCATTGTAATTTATATTTATATTTATTGAATTCTTGTTTGGCTAAATATTTCGTATACGCTAGTGTTACTTCTAGAACCCATAATGAGATATACTTAAATATACAAAATCTGTGTTATGTTCGGATTAATGCTATGTGGATCGGTAACTTGACACATGGAACATTGACTAAATGAATTAATGATGACTTCAAAATGCACTCGATATATTTTGATGTAGTTTTTGTTACATGTCTCGTGTATTTACATTGTAATCATGTTTTCTGTTATGTATGCAAAACATTCTTAGTTTGAATGATCATTAATGATTATTAAACACAGAAGATTGATGTGAGTTTGTTTGTGATGTAAAAGAATAATAATGATATAAGTCGATTAATTAATTAATGGAAGGTATATATCGTATTTAGTAACTTATTCTCATGATCTCAATTCAGGATTCAATTTATACGTGGTTGAAGAACACCATATCTGTTGCGAATGGTAAACTCATTTCACCGAAAGGCAAGGTAATACCGCTTGTTACAGCTTTCAGACCTAATTTCTAAGATTTTCTATGTTTATACACTCGTTCCGCATTTTATCACGAGCAATAGATACAATATATAAGCTCATGACATAATAAACAAATAATAAAGTTTTCCAAACTGACAGAATACCTGAAATAATGGAACATGGATGTAGTTTGAAATTGGACAAGGGAAATGGAAGGGGAGTGTTAGAGTAAGTTACGAAGAAGGAGAGCGAATAAATTTCAGTTGCACATGCAATTTGTTACTTATGGGGTTACTAGTTCGACTTTGATTGATTGATTAACTATTTCCAGAGCATGATTTATCGGAATTATAGCCTATTATTGTGTTCGATTTTCATATGCTTAAGCTAGAGTATGGGCGAAATGAAAAAACTATAAGGACAATTTGAGTAGAACAATAGTCTTCTTGATTGGCACCACCCAGAGTACCACTCGATTTGAAATTGGCTTCAGTTTACTATCTCTTTGAAAAATGATGGAAATGTTTTGCGAAATATAGTTAATCAAGAGACTTAGTTAGATTTATTTAAGAGAAGGTGAAACTACTTCAAACTGGCGGGACGTAACATGAAATTTTTTAAGTATGTGGCCCTATAAAATCTGTTATGCTGACAAATAGTATACCTATGATAGACGCATATTGAAACTCACGTCTGAAGACAACATGGATATAGGTGAATGCTCACCGAGAGTTATAGTATTTGAGACTGACATCACAGGTATTAAATTGAGTAATACCTAACGTTCTGTGATAGTTATTCAAGGTGTCTATGGTACATCCGGAACAATCAATAATTCCCAAAGGTAGATACAAAAGTGTGTAAACCCTAATGACTTAACCTCAATTTGAACGTAATGACTTAGAAATAGATAAGCACAATAAATAACTCTAAAATAGTACAGTTTGTTTTGTTAGGGCAGGCAGGACGTTAAGACAGTTCTTGTGGATTGCAATCCATTCGACATGAACGTTTACGTACGTATTAAAGAATTACTATCGCTGGAATTTCTAACTATGTATTGTCATATACTTGGTTAAGCTTCTTGTATTTATAGGTAAATTCAATGACGTTTATGTGTGTATTTCCTGTTGACGAAATAATGTATAGCACGTATTAACTTAAATTTATATATTGAACACAAAAGTGAAATTTGTTCACACACAATAGATAAAGCGCATGGGTCTAGGGAAATTTTATGTAAGTCAAAGAGGTATTGATTTATGCACATGATCGCTTTCTATACAGTTGTTCTTCAATAGATTGTTGGACTGACTATCAACAGATACTCCTACACAATGCAAGCGCTTTATTGATTTTGGAAATAATGTTACATATATTAACGTGTAATTTATTATCATGTTTAAACTATTTTAGGATAGAGTTATGTGTCTCTCAACACCATGAAAGTTTCAAAGTATAAAAATAAACAAAGGGCACTAACCTCCAAAATAAGGCAAAACAGAGTTGTTTTATAATATTTTGTAGTCTACACCTAGTCACTTACATCTACTACAAGTATAGTATGAATAGGGTTATTTTTGTGATTGTAGGTTTTTTAATCACTATATAGTTTATTTAATGATTAACACCGTTGCACTACGGTGTCTCGAAAAGCAACATATTTAACCAGTGGAACTTCTTTGTTGTTTCAGGAAGTATTTGTGCCTGGGACAAGAAGTGGAATGGACGTCTGGCCTGCATAGGAATAGGAGGAATTTCTTTTTTTTTTTATTCTTTTGTTTAATAGAGGGCCAATGGCACATATCTATTATCTCTTGTTAGGAAATGAAATCCTATTATAGTAAACTCTTCGATAAGCATTTGTTCGTGAGATTCATATACAAGCCTTCAATGTAATATATTTGCTATTTTATTAATTATTTAATATGTTATGTGGTCTGTAAAATACCTATCAGAAGCAAACCATCGCGCAGTTAGGTGAAGAAGATAATGATACGGTACATTAAGCGGACTAATCTTACCTTACTCACGCCTTGCAGGGAGCATTATGAAGACAGATATTACCGCTTTAGAGAAGTACTCAGTGGACGGACACATATTGATAACTAATGGACTTCCTTGGTACCTCTAATATTCTATAATAATTAGTTTCCACTAACTGCTTTCTTTGTTTAAGGTCACGCATACACTTACTTTGTGAAAAGTTTATTTAAAGCTTTGATATATAGGCAAATAGCAATTCGTCTCATACTAAAAGCTATAACAGAAAAACCCCCCAAAAAAGGGGCAGGGTATGGATTACAGCAATGTAAATAGTAGCATATTGAATGGTGAAAATAAACCATTGAAGAATAGCGATCACATGTTGTCTTTTTTCACTATGATAAATAAAAGAAAGTATGTACGTCTTTGTCGCTATTTTAAATAAAGAAAATCGAAATCTCATGAGGGACGCCCGAGACG